GTGTGTGTGTGTGTGTGTGTGTGTGTGTGTGTTTGGTCATATTTTCAAAGAGCCACTGCAGAGGAACCAAAGAGCCACATGTGGCCCCAGAGCCTCAGGTTGCAGACCCCTGAGTTAATGTGTCTTTGTGGTTTAACCTTGTGACAATAGAATTATCACAAAGTGAACAAAGTAGTTTCACTCTGTCTCATTCAGTCTGAAGAGTGATTAAAACTCTGAGGACACAGAGACAGGAGAGGAAAAACACAGGAAGGAAAGTACCATAAAAAGCCTTTGGGATGAACTGATTTGCCCCCCAGAGGAGGTGGCTGCAGCAAAGTGTKTTTTTTTTTTTTTTGTTAGGAATCGCTGAGAAAAGGAAGTGATTGTAGTTAGATTTGATCATATACAGATACATGGAAATAAAAAGCAAACGTGATGTGGCATTATATTGTGTTTCATTGATTAATCATGTCAAAGAAGATAAATGTGATGCTCATCTGAATATAGTGTTTTCTTTATCAGTTTCACCTCATGATTTTCTTATTGTAAGCGATGACAGTGCATTTCCATTTAAACAAAAATATATTTAATCTGGGAGGATTGATGAAGCTATAGTTACCTTTACTGCTGTTTATATCTGTTTCCACTACAAGTAAAGATCAGACGGTCACGTAACGTAGAGAAGCTGTTCCAGAGCTGCTGAGAATAATTGGATCACCCAGTGGAGCTAAAATAGAAAACGCAGCTCAGTCCGGACTGAATAGGTTTGCTTCTTTATCTGCATGAAACAAAGTGCTGCCATGTTATGCAAAAAAACACAACCTTGATTTTTTTTTTGTTCGTGAAAACTCAATATGTTGTGTTCAGATTGTGTKTTGATTGACTCTCAGCTACATCAAGTTTCACTCAATGTTTGAGGTTGATTCAACAGTTGTAGTGAATGAGTCTCTGCAACAAACAAACCACATTTCAGTACAAAATCTGTAAAACTGACCGAATTATCGCCATCTTGTATGTTTTCTAAATYCAATGTTTGCAACAGTCTGTAGATTGTTGCATTTTTATAACTCATGTTTATTTCCTGAAAGTTTCAGCATATACTACTACTACTAATACTCATTTGTGTTTTTTGTGTTTTTAAGTCCATGCATTCATCTTGAATTGGCTTAAATTCAAAAGTRAATTAGTTTTAGATGTGCATTTCTTTTTGGAAGTTTAATTGAAATTATTCAGGTGGCTCATGAGGTATTTTGGTAAAAGAGATGAAAAGTCGACTTAAGTTGATTGCAAAATTAAGCAAAAATTCAGTTTGTTTTTTGAGAGTTTGTATTTAAATTTATTTCAAACATCTTTTCAGGGAATATTCATGARAAATGAGGTGCTCTGTTTAGTAGCAACCACTCATGCATCACAAAAAGCCTCTTGGCTTCAACAGAGTTAGTAAAACAGGAGAACAGTCTGCTTTAAAAAATAGTACAGCTGATTCAATCTAACTGGACAGGTGGAGAATAGACGTTGACCTGCAGTAGCTTGAATTAAGGACTATTATTGAAACCTAAAAACAACAACCGCTCTCTGATGATTGGATCATCAATCTGCGCTCTGATTGGTCCACTGGACTGTCACTCAGGGTTCATTTAAGTGGAGGATTTACGCATAGCGACTAATCTTCGCTTCAGGTTACAGACGCGCAGGATTTGTGCCGCAGAGCGGAGACGCAGAGGGAGCATCTGTTGGAATAACGTTGCATCCGGTGGAGAAAGCAGCTCGTTTCTGCCCCTCATTGAACACAGAAGTCCATGGAGCCTCAGTGGGTGTCGTGACTGCTCCTCACCGCCTCTCACTCTGCAGAAGATTCCGCGGTGAAGTTGCCGCAGCATCCATCCCCCGGCAGAGCGCGCGCTCCATCCTCCCGCAAACACCATGGGCACCGTCCTCTCCATATCTCCCGCGACCAAGAAGGCGTCCATCATCGACGCCGAGGCCACGGGGGACGCGCTCAAGAACGACAAGAGCCTCAAGCGGCACTCGATGTTTGTGTCCCTGTCCTGGAAGAAGCTGGTGGCCAATTCGGCGAAGAAGAGCGCGAAGAAAGTGACCCCGAACCCGCTGCCCGCGCGCGAGCTCCCCTCCAGCCAGGCAGTGGCGCAGCTCAACACCGAAAACAGCAGGAAGACGCACCAAACCGAGGAGAGGAAACCGAAGGCCCCCATCCCGGTCCCGGTGCCCAGGGTGCCCACGCTGAACGGTGACGGCGCGGTCCAGAACGGGAGGCTGTCCACGGTCCAGAAGCAGCCCAGCAGCTTCTCTCTGCTGTCGCCCAGACGGATCGTGATCCAGGCKTCCACCGGGGAGTTGCTCCGGTGTTTGGGGGACTTCATGTGCCGCAGGTGCTACAAGCTGAAAGAGTTAAACAGCGGCGAGGTGGTGATCTGGTTCCGGAACATCGACCGGACTCTGTTGATGCAGGGCTGGCAGGACATCGGCTTCATCACGCCGGCCAACGTGGTGTTCGTGTACCTGCTGTGCCAGGACGCGATCACGGACAGCATCGMGAGCCCGGCCGAGCTGCAGGGCGCSTTCCAGACCTGCCTCTACCTCGCCTACTCCTACATGGGCAACGAGATCTCGTACCCGCTCAAGCCCTTCATCATCGAATCCAACAAGGACGTGTTCTGGGAGACCTCGCTGCGCATCATCGGCCGCCTGAGCGCCAAAATGCTGCAGCTGAACGCGGACCCGCACTTTTTCACCGAGGTCTTCCAGGACCTGAAGAACCAGCGCGACTCCAGCGAATCGAACCTGGACCGCTGACACGGTGGGACCCGAGCAACAAATGGATGAATGTAAAAACAGGTGACTGCGGGAAGGCCGGGGATGAAGGCTTCTCCACGTCTGGGCTCAACACGTCCATCATTAATGTTACACAACTTCAATCAATATGGTGTTTAGGTTACAACGTGAAAAAAAAAGAAAATTTTAAACATGCATGCCGGTTATATATTGTCTTCTTTCGTCTTGTCCGAGGGATTGACGTCATTGTGCGCAACATAGAGACTCAGATCTTTATTTCGTACAAGCTTAGCCTATATTCCGAGTAAAGGAATGGGTGTTGGGGGGTGAGCTCCGAGGCTGACGGATTTACGGAGGCGGAGCTGTCCAGGGTGCTGACCTGTTCAGCCATTTATTCCTGCATGTTGGAGTTCCTTCACTTCACACCTGACCCCGTCAGCCCAGTCCACTTTCAGCACATAAGCCTAAGCCTTGTAAGCAGAGGTATTGAGCTTTTTTTAACATCTCAGTCAGCTGATTGATAAGCTGCTGACCATGTAACAGAAAGAAGAGGGCAGAGCATTTTGAATGGAGCACATTTGACACAGATGAGGTGTTAAATGTGCTTTTAGTTTGCAGATTTAAACATTAAGTTGCTCATTGCAAAGTAGGAAATCAAACATAAACAATGAGATCAAGAACTGTGTGGAATAGTGCCATTTGGAAAAAAAGTTTGCTTTCCCATATTTACCAACAACCAGTGGCGTCACTAGGCTTATTTTAGGGGGGCTGGAGCCCCCTTGAAATATTTTAAAGCCCCCTAAATTATTTTGGTGTAAAAAATGTATTTATTTATATTTTTTTTTAATTCAATATGATGTGGTCAGAATAAATAACCATTTAATATTTCATTTTTAACTAAAATATATGATCATACATCTGTCAGTTTCCCTTTAATTTATAGTCTAAAATAGTTTTAATGTTCAGTTTTGGGGTATTTTTGATTTGATGTTAAAATATTATTTGGCCTTGAATGATTTAAAAATAACTGTGGAAAAACTGTAGGTATTCTCTAAATAAATGTTACTGAAATGATACTTAATACACACACACACACACACACACACACACACACACACACACACAC